AGCAGGAGTGGTAGGAGTGTGTGTGTGTGTGTGTGTGTGTGTGTGTGTGTGTGTAGACAGGAACCATGGTTGCCATTTAGGTAGGGCAAGGGGGTGGCTGTTCATGGAGCCGGCTGTGGAGAGTCTGGTCCCTGCCACTGGGAGCAGCCTCCAAGGGCTACCAGTGCTGAAATGAGCCTGGCCTGTCAGGAAGCTGTGCCTGGTCTGTAGTCCTGCCTGCTCTGGGCTGCAATGGCAACTCCCTCCCAGGCACCCCGGTTTGGGAGGCAGGATCTTTTGGCAGGGTATGGTAGGGGGCTCCCTCAAGGGCTGAGGCTCCTGGGAAGGGGTGGGTTTAGAAGCTTATGGTAGGAAAGATAGGGGCTCCTGGTTTCCTAACTGTGTGCGTTTTTTAACTCTAAAACTCTTGAAAGTTAATGGGCACTCAGCCACTGCTATGTATGCCTGTGTGTCCCAGATGCATATGTATTACTAACGTGTTGTTTTAAAAATCCCTTGCACCAGTGGTTCTCCAAACCGATCTGCCGTTTGTTCAGGGAAAGCCCCTGGTGGGCCGGTTTGTTTACCTGCTGCGTCCGCGTGTTCGGCCGATCGCAGCTCCCACTGGCCGCGGTTTGCCGCTCCAGGCCAATAGGGACTGCGGGAAGCGGCGCGGGCCGAGGGATGTGCTGGCCGCCCTTCCCACAGCCCCCATTGGCCTGGAGTGGCGAACCATGGCCAGTGGGAGCTGCAGTTTGGCCAAACCTGCGGATGCGGCAGGTAAACAAACCGGCCTGGCCCGCCAGGGGCTTTCCCTGAATAAGCGGTGGACTGGCTTTGAGAACCACTGCCTTACACTGTTCAATGCAATATAGTGTCAAAAGATTTTTTTTAAAAGTCTCAGATTGCTACAAAAATGTAGCTCTCACTGGAGTTTGAAACCCATTCAGAGCAAAGAAAATGTAAAGGGAACATTGCTCATAATGTTCTGTCCAGAGGGCTAGGTAAGACAGAGTTGGGAGAAGCAGCATTCCACATTTTACTGCAAAATACTGGAAGAATCTTTGGGGTAGGCAGGGGAAATGACAAGTGCTGGTGTGGGTGCAGAATGTGGGTAGGAATCTGAGTTCACATTAAAGGCCTAACCCACCCCTGACCAAGGAAAAACACACAGGAGGGGAAAAGATGCTGCAAATCATGGTGCGCTGTGGCCGCTGGGCTCTGTAAGGTGGGCATGTTGTGCTGGAGAATGGAATGACTGTTGAGGCCAGGGATCTGCAGAAAACATTTAAGCTCTCTAATTCCCAGACATCAGTTCAGGGCCAGTTCTAGGGGTGGGTGATCATGGCAGTTGCCTTGGGCGCCAACTTCCAGAGGGCAGAGTACTGCTGTGCTGCTCTTTTCTGTTTGTTTTTGTTTTGCTTGGCTGCTCTGGGAGTGCAGAAAATGTCTGTCATCCTGGCCAACAAAATTCCCACGGCCATTCCTGCATTGGTTGTCCCTCTGCCAGCCTTCCTGGAACCAGCAACATGGCAGCCTGGCAGTGGGGGAATCTTGTTGCTATCAGCTGTCCTACTGAAGTGGTGCATTGTAAGTCCCTTTGTCGGCAGTTGGTAATGTGCTGGGGGAGCAAATGCTGGTTTGAACAGCGTTGACTCCAGCTTGGATTTCAGAAATCTGGTAGTAGTTAGAGAAGCATGATCCTTGGCTCCACCCCCTTCTCTCCTGGCACACCTCCCCCTCCTCCAGTCCCATAAATCCCTGACCATGCAGAGTTTGGAAGGGCTTCAGGTTCTCAGGGAAGGAGCTGCTATTCCCAGCTGTTTCCACTTGGCTGGGTTCCCCTACAGTCATGTAAGTGGGTGCGTGCGTCTGGCCCCAAGGGATTTACATACAGGGTGGGTGGGTGAAATTGTGTACTGTGAGGTGTAGCCCAAAAGATGCTGTCCCTGTAATTGTTCTAATGTACCCTACTCTCCATTCCTCTCTCCTCACAATTTCAACTTCAGTTTAGAGCGTAAAAGCCAAGCAGTTCCTAAGAAATGTTTGTGAGAGCCAGGGCAGTCAGTTGTGGTGTCTGCTCTCTGCCACATTGTCTCTCTCTATGACCGCGGGATGATCTTTTACTCTGAATTAAATAAATAGGACCGTTTCTGAGATTTTTTGCCTTGTTCTTTCCTTCAGCTCCCACCCCTTCTGTGAGTCTGATTCAGCAGGCTGAATTTCTTCTCTCTCTTATGTTTGCAGGAGTTTTTCAATGAGGTGCCTAATGCAGGCCGTGCTCCACCGCAGCAGCAGGCTGCCAGGCCGGGGGGGCGCTCTCCGTTTTCGGAACTGAACCAGCAGCTAGTGAACATGGGATTCCCCCTCTGGAGCCTCGGTAACCAGGTGGTGGAGCCGGTGATGTCCATCCTGCTGCTTTTCCTCCTCATGATGGTGGGCGTGCGTGGCCTTCTGTTGGTGGGCCTTATCTACGTGGTCTCACACCTGAGCCAGCGGTGACCGTGCCCTCACACTGGCCACCACTGCTTCCTGCTTGGTGAAAGAAAGACCAGGTTTCCTTGTCAGGTGTGGGTATGTTTGTGAGTGTGCCTCCCACTGAGAGAGAGAGAGAGTGTGTGTGTGTGTGTGTGTGTGTGTGCAGGTGCATAGCTGTGTATCCTGAAAGTATCTGTGTGTAGCGCTCAAGGGGAATTGAAGTGTGGAGTTGGGATGCCCAAGGGCACAATCCCCAGGTGTAGCATTTTTTTTCTCACATTAAGTTGCTCCTTTCTGAGGGTTGCCCAAGTGAGGCTTGGCTTGCCCAGGAGCTTCAGCCACCGGCTAGAGAGGTCATGCCAGAAGCCCAAACTTTGGTGCAGCTATAGAAAGGGTCTGGCATGTCATGTTGTGTCATCCAGCACTTATCAGATACAGTGCCTAGACCTGAGGGGAACTGAAATGGGAGCTTAGTTTACATCTGCAGGTGTGTAGGGCAGTAGGGGTCTCCGAGGAGTAATAAAACAAACATGCATGAATGTGAGACAATTTGAAAATGGCCTGGAGAAGGCAGGGTTTGCTTTGTAATTCCAATCAGATTTTAGAGGTGTATTGGAAGGGAAGTTTAAATTAAAAGGAGAAGAGATATTGACGGGTTTGAACTGACAGCACAGTATATGCTACATCTTAAACATATAGTATTGGAGGGCTATTATAAGGGGCTGAAGGGGGATATTAAAATAGAAAGTGGGAAGACCAGAAAGGAGTTTGAAGAAGATTAAAACAGGGAAGAAGAAAAGTGTCTGTAAAACAGGTGATGTCACCTGTGTTTTTGTCTTGCCTGGGTTGTCCGGGATATTTGTGTTTGAACAAGAACTTGCTCTGGGACGTTGTCACCGTGGGTGATACCTTATACCTGCTGCAATGGGAATGATTCCAACATTGAGTAACTGGGGAAGTTGGGCTTGGAAATGTGTGGATGGAGGAACCAATTTTTAAACAATACAGTCCTTGATAATTTGCAGAAGTGGAAATGAAACATATCTGCTAAAAACATGTAAGAGCAGGGTTGTATTAGGTCTGGTGTGTTTTAAAGCTTTCTTCAATCCCTCTTTAAGGCCAAGAAACATAAGAACTTTCATCTTGATGAGCTGAGAATCAGTGAGCAATATCTCTCCTCTGTCTTATAAATAGGATTGGGCCTCAGCAAAAACAGCAGATCCAGACTTCGGGGGAAGTTCACATCCCGATCTGGATCCATACTTCATGCCTGTCACTATAGTGGGCCAAACCAGACCACAGAATTTAAATTACCCTGCCCCTCCCCCACAAATTTGTGGAAGTTTGGATTCAGGTCCAAATACAGATCTGAATTGTGACTTGGGACCATATTGGCTTATATCAGCTTTAGTGTGTGTGTGCATATGTGTGTGCGTGTGTTGGGGTGGAGAAGCCTTACTGAACACTTGTGTAGCATGCATGGACAAAGTGGTTCTTGTTTTTGTTCAATAAACTGAGTGAAGGAAATTGTGCATCACAAATTGACTGTAAATTTTTGCCTTCCCCAGTGGAGTATAAAAATGCCAAGAGCAACACCTCAAATTCTCCTCTGGTTCCTGTGATAACGAGAACCTTCTGCTAAAACAACAAGGAGAAAAAAACCTGTAACATGACGTTTTATTATAAAATTGAAATTGTTCTGAGATACTAGTACATAAATCTCTTTCCAAACTGCCTGTTCTCTGAATTTCTTGCTGTTCTTGGGCCTGTGGTGAGCATGCCAGAGCCAGTGAAAGTCAGTGATAGCTCCCCAAGCAGGGCCCCCACAAATCCCAAGTACTGGAAAGTCTGGGAAGACACAGCTATGGTTTTAACTGGTGTATTGATTAAATACAACCCTACAAACGAACTGACTAGCTCAGGGGAAATAACAAGCCCGTCACTCAGATGGAGTCTAAGAGTCTCACAGATAAAGAGCTGAGCCTGAATCTCACTGAGACTGCCCAGTGACCCAGGCTAGCTTTGTGGGATGGTGCCCTATCGTCATGTTGTATTGCATTGTGCTGATGTTTTGGCAGGCTGCTTTGCTTAGGCTGAAGTTCTCAGTCACCCCTTCTAAAACTGAAGCCATCTTTAACTGCAGAGCTTTGGCATTAACTGAAATTTGTTAACTTCTGATGGTCATTTGGTGGCCTATATAAAATGATGTGATGATCTCAGCTCAGTTCCTGATGAACAGCTGTGTAACGTCATAGTAAATGGCACTTATGTTGAGAGTTTCAGCATAGAGATCAAGGACTGAATGGCATTCTGAGACTGAACCATGCACCCCTGGAGGGAATCCCTCCAAAGACAACCTGAGGAATATTGGCAGGTTAGTGCTAGGGTGCGGGGTTTACATGGAGAGTGGGTTAACTGGGGAAGCCAAGTCATTACATTGTGTAGAGATGGCAGGGGCTGACTGGCTTCCTGTATCCCCCTCGAACCCAAGTCAATCTCCCCAGTGGAAAACCAGCATAGGGGACTGATCCCATGGGTTTCTGTGGGGTTTCTTCCTGTCTGCATCACCAGCTCTTCCTCCACAGGGAGGCAGAGCATCTGAGAGGGACTCTGACAGAGATGGGACTTCAACGCTGGGGGCCCCCCATTGTGAGCTGGAGTGACGGAACTAATCCTGTTAGTAAATCATTCCTGCTCTTTCCACAGAAGAGAAGCTCCTTGTGAAAAGAAACAATAAGGGTGAGCATAAGGGATTTGGGTGCTTCTACAACGGATGTGTTAATCACCAGACCTAATCTCCTAAACGACTGTGTTCCCGTGTCAGGTTGAATTTGAAGCCTGGATGCTCAGAGTAAGTTTGAGGGCTACTGCAGTAGACTCCATTCAGGCAGGAACTTAATGTATCCTAAAAACTGATTAATTGAAATGAATTAAACCCTGTTAATACCTGCTCCAGCCTGGTTCTTTTGTTACTGTTCCATACCAGCTCCAGTCCTAAACTTCTCACAATACTAGGCTGCTATGTCATTTTTAACATAAGGTAATTTGTCTCCTATACCTCAACAGGCTGAAGGTTGCATTGCAGCTGAAGATGCTGTGTTTTGTAACCTGGACACGCATCCTTCCCCAGCGTCCCAGAATTATGTTAAGGGATACTATGCTAGTGGAGGTACTGTCCGTTTTAACCAGGCTATTCTCTGCATTCCAACGTCTCAGTCACGTGCTACAAAACATTATGTAGCTGATGTTGTTTAATGAACCATATTATACGTTAACACAGTTTTAAGAGATACTGGGCTTGTAGCAGGCAGATTGAGTGTGACAATTTTGTGATAATTTACATGGGCAAGCATTTGTGAAAGACAAGAGGCAAGCTCCTAGACCAAGGTCAGAGCTTCTTAACACCTTCAACAGAAGAAAAAGGCCATGACTTGCATTGGCTTGCATTTGCACAAAATCAGTAGAGAAATATCTTTTAGGATCTTTCAATGTTGGAGATTTATTTTGATTCGTATAGAGTAAAATAACAAAGGGGTTGTTGGCCATGCCAGTCTTAAATCCTGGAAAACTAAGACTAGGTAAGTGGATGATGGTGAATGTGCATGCCAGGGGAATGTGTCTGTGTATTTGTGCATGTGTGTTAAGCACACGCCGGGTATGTGTCCTGTTTTACAGGACTGTATTCATGCATGCCTCATATGTGCTAATTTTACATGTCTTCTGCAGGGTCACTCAGCTATTTCCCATATGTGGATGTATGTCAGACATGCATGTCTCTGCTGGTGCTGGCCAGACACATATGCCTTCATGTTGGCGCTCTCGGCACCAATTTCGAACGTATTAATATAAGTAATATGCAATTAATTAGTTGATTAATTAACAGAACTCTGTTAAGCTTTAACTCTAAGTAGACCTGAAACACTCAGGGGAGAGGTGGGAGGGATGGAGGGTTTTGACTGGAATTTTGGAATTTGCACCCTTCTCACATACGGGCTCCTTTTCTGGTGATCTTTTAGCTGAGCTTTCTCTTTTGGGGTGTTTTATAAACACATTCATTCAGCCATGGCCTTCAGCTTCCTTTTCAGCTTCCCAGCTACTCTGTGTAGTTTGGAGGGTTGCTATTTCTCAGATGGTTAAGGGATGGGCTGAGAAGCGTAATGGATGTGGGTAACAGAGGAAGCAAGCCAGCCCTGTGGGACGGGAGCTGCGCTTATAGAGCAGCGTGGGGTATTGTCAGGGAAGCCTCCAGTTGCAGCTGCCTGCTGCAGTGTGAATAGTTTCACAGCTCACCGAAGAGACGACTGAATTTAATTCAAGATGAATGGGCGCCTCCCCAATATAGATGACATTTTCATTGCAAGCTAACAAAGGGAGAAATCCAATTACATCACAAAGGGGCTCCCTAATAGGCCATGCAGCCTGTGTGTGTGGTGGGGCTAGAGGCTTCTGCGCCACAACAATCCGTTGCAGAGGGAAGCCATGCAAGCCATCCATCAGCCACACAAAGCAGGGGGAGAGAAACACTCACCCAACCTTTTTGTGTGTGGGACTAAAAGAGCATCATTTGAAAGTCCAAGAGACACAGAGATTGAGTGAGCAGCCTTTAGCGGGGAAGGGGTTTAGAGTGTCCTTTCCAACCAAGCAGTTCATGTGCGTGCAAGTGTGTTTACATTTTAACCCCTGTTTTGTGAGTCCTTAAATGTGGGGTTCAGGAATCCAGGCTCTAAAACTCTTCCCCCCCTCCTTTTGCTCTTAAGTTTCTTCCCTCCCTTCTCCGTCTCAATCAAGCAACTGGAGTCCTGGTGTCAGCAGCCAGGACTGAACTGAAGTCCAAGGAGCTGCATCTATTTATGCCATGGTTGCATTTGGCCTTTTGTTTCTTTCTTCTCCTTCCTTCACCCTTCCCCCCCTTTTTCTCCTTCAGTCTTTGCCCCCTGAGAATCTCTCATTTATGCTATTTTATTTGAGTTGTTATACTGCACCCATCACCCTCTTATATACTCCCCCTCCTCCACTGTTCCTCAACCTTGCAACAAAATCCATAAATCCTCATTCAGTTTTTGTTAGCAGGTAAAAAATACCTGGTACTAGGTCACTGAAATAAAAGGATGAATGCAACTTGAGAGAGAGGGGAAGTCTGGCTGTTGCACAAAGACTCTTAATCGCAACACCTGTAACCTGCTTTTGTCCACAGGTAATGAAAGACTTTACATGCATCTTGGAAGTTGATTGGTATGTAAAGTCCCAGGATAAAAACAAGAATTTTTCTATGAGCTGGGGACATATCAGTTGGAAGTGACAGAGGAGGAGAAAGACTTGGGTGTATTGGTTGACCACAGGATGACTATGAGCTGCCAATGTGATGCGGCTGTGAAAAAAGCTAATGCAGTCCTAGGGTGCATCAGATGAAGTATTTCCAGCAGAGATAGGGAAGTGTTATTACCATTATACAACGCACTGATGAGACCCCATCTGGAATACTATGTGCAATTCTGGTCTCCCATGTTTAAGAAAGATGAATTCAAACTGGAAAAGGTGTAGAGAAGGGCTACTAGGATGATAAGAGAAATGGAAAGCCTACCTTACAAGTGGAGATTCAAAGAACTTGTCTTGTTTAGTCTGACCAAATGAAGGCAGAGGGTAGACATGATTGCTCTCTATACATACATCAGAGGGATAAATACCAGGCAGGGAGAGGAGTTATTTAAGTTAAGCACCACAAGAACAAATGGATATAAACTGGTCATCAACAAGTTTAGGCTTGAAATTAGATGAAGGTTTCTAACCATCAGAGGAGTGAAGTTCTAGAACAGCTTTCTAAGGGGAGCAATGGGGACAACAAAACCTAACTAGCTTCAAGACTGAGCTTGATAAGTTTATGGAGAGGATGGTATGATGAGACTGCCTACAATGGCATGTGGCCCACATGCGACTGCTAGTAGCAAATATCCCCAATGGCTGGTGATGGGGCACTAAATTGGGAGGGCTCTGAGTCACTACAGTGAATTCTTTCCCAGGTGTCTGGCTGGTGGGTCTTGACAACATGCTCATGGTCTCCATAATTGGGGTCATGAAGGAATTTCCCCCCAGGTAGAGACCCTATGTGTTTCTTTTACCTTCCTCTGCAGCATGGGGCACAGGTCACTAGCAGGTTTAAACTAGAGTAAATGGTAGAGTAAATTCTCAGTAACTTGAAGTCTTTAGATCATGAGTTGAGGATTTCAGTAGCTCAGCCAGAGGTTGTGGGTCTATTACAGGAATGGGAGGGGGGAGGGGGAGGTTTTGGGGCCTGCAATGTGCAGGAGGTCAGAGTAGATGATCACAATGGTCCCTTCTGACCTTAAAATCTATGAGGATATGTCAGATCGAACACGCCTAGGTAGAAGCATTTTTTTCTCTTTAATAACAAAAAGGGAAAATTTGCTGCTCATAGAAGTGAGGGACAAAGCTTAGTGCAGTAGGTATTGTGCAAGCTTACCCTGCCCTCAATTCTTGCCAAGGCATCTCAGTCCTTACCTGCAATGACTTCTACTATTGTAAACCTGAGCATAGACTGCCAATCCTACTGAGGGGCGTAATGAGGTTTTGTCAAAACAGAACCATTTGCTGTAGGGTGTGGATTTCATGATTTCCCCCTGAACATCATTAAATTAAAATATTAAAATTAAATAAATAAAAACATTAAATTAGGAATATTAAAACATCACTGGAGATATGTGGATTTTCCACAGAAT